AGCAAACTCATAATATAATACTATTCAAAATTACCCTAAATAAATAAATAATATTATTTAATCGTATAATAAGCATTGTTGATTTATTCAATATTACAGGTTGCGGTCTTTTTGCAAAATAAGCAAGTTCTACCCCCAAAAAAATTAATGCTAGTTCTTGTTATAATTAAAATTCCACGACGAGTGTGCTCTACAAGTTTTACAAAATTTTTAATCTATCATAACTCAACGGGCCACTATGCATATCTTTAATTAGGACAACAGACATTTAAAGTTCAATGTCAAGTTAATTTTGTCATTATAATATCGATTCTGTCTGTAAATATTCCAAGGTGTTTTGAAGAATCATAATAACTAAGTTTGTCTGGGTTTGCGTATTTTTTCAAGCTATGACGCTACATTTGTCGACAGCTTGGGCGTATAGTAAAACGATCAGCAATCAATCTTGCCATGTGAAGGTTGAGTAAAAAAATTGATCGGAACATTTCGACCCATAAATATCGTGTGGAACAACTGTGGGAAACGCTGAAAGATCTCATTGCTTAGATGATCCCTGTATCCGAAGTGAGAGATCCGTATATACGATCCGTGTATATGCGGTAGAACCACACTGCAGCTATATTATGGTTATAGTACGAATAGGTCGGCATAACTGGGGTGGGACCATTGGTAGGACTTGTCATAGAATACCAGCGTAAAATAGCAGTTTCTGCTGTATTTTGTATGGTAAATTTTGAGAATCGGAGACCCTTTTACTGAAAGCGAGGCATTCGCATTTGTCCTCATACCTGACAACACATCTGCATTTTGATTTTTCATCGAGGATAAATGTAGATGTCTATGGACTACAGCATCCACTTATCATAAGGTGGTCTATGCGCGTTTTTTAATCTTTTTTTTTTTCTAATTCGAATTGCGAAGCCTGACGATTATGGCAAATCATTCATAGAACGCGGGTGGATATTCCAACACTGAACATTTTTAGGACCTACGTGACCGGTATCGTATGCAGCAACGTAATAAACTATTAATCCACAAACTCATTTCTTCTTATAAGTATTCGTAAAATGCAAGTTGGTAAAAACCATTTCGTATTCAAACCGAATATATGAAAGAATATCCAGACCAAATAAAGGAATTGTCGTTAATACTGCGATTGCCAATTTGCCCACTAAAGTAACGATTATAATAAATTTTCTTTATGTAATAGAGACTCATATCTAGTAGAGGATTTGAAAAAAAAAGTGTTTTTAATATAGCAAATTAATATAAATGAGACAAGAGTGTCGCATTTTTTCTCACAACGCAAGGTTATATATAACCGAAAGTTACGAAAGTTTAGAAAATAGATGGAAGACGTGAAGTAAGCTCTAAGTTAGCGTTTCGCTTCATACCCCAGTCCTAAAGTGTGCGCTGGGTGCAATGCACAGTTTCCTACAAGTTTCTTTTAATATATTTTTTATTCTTTTGTTTTTATTTATTAATATGTCCACAACAGAAGTAATAGAAATAAGTAAATACTCAAACATTTTACTTGTTCGTATTTCGACAACCAGGAGATACGATCAAATAGTCAAAGTACCAGATGGAATTAAAATTTACGTAAAAACACAAAGATCATAAGATATAGATGGTGCACAAGATGCAAAGAGTGGAGACAGGCAGTGGCCCAGTAAAAAAAAACTTTTGTTAAGACTTTTAATAAAAAGAAAAAATCGACTTCATAGAACTAAAAAGAATAAAATAATTTCATATTCATAAGTCGCGAACTTATTTCTTCTATACCCTAACTATATCTTAGCAAGCACTTTAGAAAGTGAAACAATTATTTTGTTTGTGTGTGTCTGTGTGTAACTGAGTGTGTCTGAGTGTCTCTGAGTGTGTCTGTGTGTGTCTGTGTGTATGTGTGTGTATATGTGTGAATGTGTGTGTGTGTGTGTGTGTGTGTGTGTGTGTGTGTGTGTGTGTGTGTGTGTGTGTGTGTGCGTGCGTGTGCGTGCGTGCGTACGAGCGTGCGTGCGCGCGTGCGTGCGTGCGTGCGTGCGTGCGTGCGTGCGTGCGTGCGTGCGTGCGTGCGTGCGTGCTTGCGTGCGTGCGTGCGTGCGTGCGTGCGTGCGTGCGTGCGTGCGTGCGTGTGTGCGTGCGTGAGTGCGTGCGTGCGTGCGTGTGTGCGTGCGTGCGTGCGTGCGTGCGTGCGTGCGTGAGCACGTGCGAGCGAGCGTGCGAGCTAGCGGGCGTGCGAGCGCGCGTGATTTTTTGTGTGTATTTGAGTGAGTCCCTGAATAGTTTAAAATATCAATTAGACCCGGTAGAAGGCGCTGTTGTTGAGATCCAGAAACCACCCGTAAGAAGCCAAGCCGGATCGCTATTATTTAATAAACATACGTGAAAAATATAAATGGAAAAAAGTAAATTTTTAATGTTACGGGAATAAATTCCACATTAAGCTTTGCAATAAACTATTTTTACGGATTTTATTCCATCTAGAATGATCATATCCTAGATGCCACCAACCATTACATCAGATTTGATAGACCACAAATCCTTGCTAAGCAACACGGGCTCCTACCAAGGATGATCCATGAGGGTATTGATATTAAAAATGCCCCTAATTTCATTTGAAAAGAATGCTGACTACGAACACCCGCTTGAAGTCCTGTTATTAATAAAATTAAAACCAAACCCAAGCATACCACTGACTTCAAGATGCAGTAAGCTAATGCTGCGTTATTCAGACCGAAATTAATAATTAAAAGCTGAAAGTACTTTGAGTTAACTTTGATATCGGGACGTCAATCACCCCGGTCTCCCCGTGTCCAAGGGTGGTGTACAGTAATTGAAACGTCGAGAATTAAGAAAAAGTGGAATTAATCGAGATAAAATCCGTAAAAATAGTTTTATTCAATGTGTAGTATTAGTGTCGATATATTAAAATTTTATCTAAATAAAGTTCTTTTTTAATTCTTTGAAATTTTTCTTTTGCCAAAGTACCAATCCTTCGACATTCTATTAAGTTTATATTCAGCTTGAGTTTTCGAGCGTCGTTAAGTCGCCACCTTGCTGTGTATAAAACGAAGCTGTTTTATTATATAGTCAGTTCTAAATTGCATGATTATCTCTTTATCATAAGGTTTATGTTCTTTTCCGTAACCGATTTAAAATTCTAAATCGAAAAGAACTGTAAGAAGTAAAACATAAATATGCCAAAATATAGTTATTTTAAAATTTGATACCCAAAATTTTAAGTAAACTAATGTTTAAAAAAATTATATAACATCATAGTAAGACGCAATATTAATTATATTATATTGTTGCGCGCCTAAGTTGACGTCATGTACCCGGCACTAGCGCCATCTAGTGCGAGGGACGAGAGCGAGGGGAGCTTTCCAGAAAATGACAACACTAATCTTTCAACCGACAGCGCCATCTAGTATCGAAATGAAGAACTAAGCTTCAAGAAGCCGACACTCGAACTTTCGGCGCCTTGTCGATTGGTGCGCGTATTTACTGGAATATTCTGGATGTTTAGGTAATAATGTGCATTTATAGGCGTTGCAAGATGCTATCGGGAAAGTATTGAATTCGGCGAGACAAACATAGCTTCAGAGCGAAATAAAGTGAATCAGTGTGATTAATTATTAATGTTCTAAGTTTTAATTAGTGTAAAGTGAATTAAAGTGTTAATTTTGGTAATTCAATCGGCAGTTGTTATTGTCACGAACCGCAAGCTCGTAACAATTGGTGTCAGAAGTGGGATTAAATCATGCCGATTTTACCTAAGGATGAAACGCCCGCGCGAAGTCAACGCCAGCAGGAGACGGACTAGAGACGATTTGGTGGTGCAACGCCGCAGACGTCAGAGGGCCAACTGCCAGCCACGGAGGCTGGCCCGTCAGGAGCTCCTACAGCTGCAGCTCCTGACTTAGGTGCTCTGATGGTGATACTGCGGGAACAGGCTCGCCAACAGGAGGAATAGGCTCGCCGACAGGAGGAACAGGTCCGTCGGTTGGAAGAGCGCGCGGGGTGGACAGGATGAACAGGTCCGCCGACAGGAGGAACAGGTCCAACAGGCAAAAAAATATTATAGTGATTCGGTACACTTAGAACCGTTTGAGGTTATCACGCTGCCAGTAAACACGGAGAAGTTGTCTACGCAAAGTTACCGAGCATCTTTCATAGTCCACAAAAACACAAGTTTTATGTATATAGTGTAGACGAAAGGCACGGTGGGTTAATAGGTAGTGATCTCTTAAAATCGCTTGACTCTACCATTGACATGAAAAAACTAACTTTATATACAAATAATACTAATATCCAAATTAATTACTCGCCGCCAATGAGAGAGACATATAATCTGCCTCCTCACTGCAAATTAAGAGTTAAATTACCAGTCAACTTATTAAATGGTGAAGCTATATTAAATTGCATACTTTACATCAATCAATAATAAATTCAAAAGAATTATTTAGAAAAATATGCCAAACTGATTTACCCAGCAAATAGGGAAAATTTAATTAAGTTAGAAAGAAATATAGTAGTTAAATCGTATGTCAATAGGAATAACTTAGTTTTTGTATTAGAAATCCCACTAATTGAACCAGACATATACACATACTACAAAATAATACCAATTCCAATATCTAATTCCGATGTTACCCATATCATAATCCCATCATATCCTTTCCTATTGGTGAAAAGATTGAAATACCGATCAGCGGTGAGTCCCTGTGAAGAAATCGACGACGAAAAGTTCTTATGCCCAGAGGAAAGTCTCGCAGAGTATCCAGCTGAAACATGTATTGAGCAAATAACGCAGATGAAAACCAACCACAGTAGTTATCAGCAACATAATATACGATTGGAGAATTTGAAAATTCAGAGGACCTTCAAGAACTATTGGCTACTGTATACCACTAAGGACTTGATAATAACTGAACACTGTCCAGAACATGTACAAAAATACCAAGTACAAACACATATATAATGATACCTAATCAAGAATGCAGAACACAGGTTGGAGACACATTCATCAACGCTCCGAGGTACTTGACATTCGCATCAACCTTCAGCTTCCCACAATCGAGATGCCAACCGTACGAGAGGATAACTTCAAGAAAGAAGCACAACAGTTAGATTTAAGAAACGTGGACTTCAGTGATATAAAAGAACTAATAAATAGTGCTAAATTCAGTGATAACTGAATAAATACAAAATTCTTAGTAACAAGTGAAATCAGTGTATGGACCATAAGTTTATATCTCATTATAGTAATCTGTATAGTATTTACCATTTTTAAATTCAAATTATGTTATCGAAATTCTCCGAAGTCGCTTGAGCCACCTTCGGATAATTTCTCTCTTGAGGGGGAGGAGTTAAGGCTGAGCACCCCTGCCAAATCTCATTCGTTCGCACATCATCAGCAATCCCATCTGGGTCAAGCGTATGCGATAAATAAGCTTAGTAAATAGTTTTGTTGCGTATAATTTAAGTAGGACCCGGTTGACCGAGCTTTGCTCGGTATTTTTCGCTCGGTTTTTTTTAATTCGTGTGTTTTGGAAATTATATTTAGATATAAATTACATACTGATGAAATACGAATAATATTTTTTGATCTTAGCGACATAATAGAAAAAACTGAACTGGTTATTTGAATAAAAAATCATTAGTGCAAATTAGTTTAATTTAAATTTTCGTGTTTTTAAAAAATACTAAAAAAAAGGGCTCGAAAAAATAGATTTTCTAAAAAAGAAAGGAACTTGAAAAAAAAAATTAAAAAAAGTCGGTCGGTCGGTCTGGGCTCGAACCATGGTATTACGATTTTGTGACCGCCCAATATACCAATTAAGCTATTTGTAATCATTAATAAACTGTCAAAATTTACCTTCTTATTCTAACGATATTGTAGCAATTTTTCATTGCCTAAAAACAAGGACAAAAAAGACATTTTCTGAAAATAAATACTAGCTAGATCGATTTATTGCCCCCGAAACTCCCTGCATACAAAATTTTATGAAAATCGTTGGAGCCGTTTCCGAGATTCCGATTATATAATTATATATATATATATATATATATATATATATATATATATATATATATATATATATATATATACATACATACAAGAATTGCTCGTTTAAAGGTATAGGATTAAGTATAAATAGACAATTGTAATCAGTTAATATTGAACATTATAGTAATAAACTTCTTACTGTAATTCTGTCCAAATAAATAAAATATTTTTTTTATTGAATTCTGGTTCATTATCTTAATTCGCGCAGCTTAAAGATCGCGTGCAACGCAGCAACGAAAACCTGCAGCAGTGGGCCCTTGAGGTGGAGAAGATGGTTCGAAAAGCATACCTCTGTCTGTCCCTGCGCTCATTGAAGGGAACCTGGTTCAGACATTCATCGACGGCATCCGCGACCTTGAAGTCAGAGCTGCTGTGAGGCTCGGGCACAACGAGACGCTTAAGGACGCCTTGGCCCATGCACTGGAGGTGGAAGCCGTGCGGCAGGATCTTCGCTCCCATCGCGTCAGGGAGGTTGCAGCAGCTGCGGTTCGCGACCGCAATAAAGGATACAGCCCTAGGTGCTATGGCTGTGGGGAAAGGGGCCATCTTCCATCCAGCTGCCCTAAGCGAACCGTAGAAAGGGAAGGTGAACGATATCAGGAGGGTGGGGCGGCTAACAGCCCCGCCCAGCAGCAGCAGGGAAACGAGTAAAAGCCAGAACTGCGGGGCGGGTGCTGGCTGATGTTAAAAGAGCCCCAAGGATCTCGATCTCACAAACCCATGATGGAAACAGTCTGATCATCAAGGGCGAGGTCAACGGAATGCCGTGTAAACTGACCATAGATAGCCTCTCGTACGGTTGTTAGTTCCCAACTTATAAGTCAGTTCCTTGGGGACTCCGCATACAACCGAGAACGCATTAATTTGGTAACAGCCACTGGTAAGCGTATACCCGTCCGTGGAGAGAAGGAGATGGAGTTGAAGCTAGGCAACGTGATCTACCTGCATAATGTCATCGTGGCTGATATAATGGACGACTGCATCCTGGGCCTAGACTTTATGAGAAATAACTGTTGTGAGATCGACATTAAGCAAGGTGTTTTGAAATGTGGACAGGAGGAACTTTTTATGGAAGGTGCGTTACCAGAGAACGTGTACCGCATTAAGAAGATTGTTCTTCCGCTGAGATCGGAAACGATTGTTCCGGTTAGTCTTCCCCGAAACGCTGGGCAAGCTCACCGTTGTGTACTTGCGGAAAGGGTAAACAATGACCTTCCATGGAAAGTAGCTCGAACCTTGGTCAGAACCACTGACATCTCAGGAGTACGTGTGCTGAACCTTTGTGACCAGGAACCGATTATATAAAAAGGCACGCTGGTTGGTACTTGTGAGGAAGTGGATTGGTTACGTCGGTGCTAATATCTATCGAGTGAGACCCCCAGCAAGGATGCACAAACGAGAGTGATCACACTTTTGGAAGACTGTCGCAGCGTTCTCTTGTTCTCTCGTTCGACCGAAATGGTCAAGGCGAAGAAGTTGTTACTCACGTATGCCGATGTATTCTCATCAAACGATACTGACATAGGAAATACTGGCTTAGTTCAACACAAAATAAACACAGGAGAAGAATTGCCCATCCGTCAGCGGCCAAGAAGATTGCCGGTAGCACGTGAAAAGGAAGTGGAAACCATGATTGAAGGAATGGTGAAGGATGGTGTTATTGAACCTTCCTCTAGTCTATGGTGTTCACCAGTGGTGCTGGTAAAGAAGAAGGATGGCAGCATGCGGTTTTGTGTTGACTACCGCCGTCTGAACGACGTTACGAAGAAGGACAGCTATCCCTTGCCAAGAATTGGTGACACGCTGGACATGCTTACAGGAGTAAAGTGGTTTAGCACGCTGGAACTAAAAAGTGGCTACTGGCAAGTTGAAATCGACGCTAAGGACAAGGAGAAAACTGCGTTTTCGACGAGAAAGGGTCTGTGGCAATTTAAAGTAATGCCGTTTGGGTTGTGAAATGCTCCAGCAACGTTTGAAAGGCTGATGGAACTTGTACTAACCGGGCTAATTGGCGATGCCTGTCTGGTCTACTTGGATAACATCATTATCGTAGGCCGTACGTTTGAGGAACACTTTCAAAACCTGGAACGCGTGCTCATGAAGATTCAGAGTGCCAACCTCAAGTTGAGTCCGAAGAAATGTTCACCATTCAAACGGCAAGTTAACTTTTTGGGTTATGTTGTATCGGAAGAAGGTATCCGCACGGATCCAGAGAAAATCGCCGCTGTCAAGGATTGGCCGGTTCCAAAAGACAAGACGCAGGTTAGAGCATTTTTGGGTTTGTGCTCCTATTACCGGCGATTTGTGAAGAACTTTGCAGATATAGCCAAACCTCTGCATAAGCTAACCGTGAAAAAGCGACATTTCTGCTGGGATGAAAGTTGCAATATCGCATTCCAGGAGCTCAAAGACCGTCTGTGTAAAACACCTATTTTGGGATACCCTGATGCAAGCAAAGAATTTATAGTTGACACAGATGCAAGTGACATAGGACTTGGCGGTGTGTTGTCTCAACGGAATGGTGACCAAGAGGTCGTGATAGCTTACTTCAGCAAGTCGTTGTCAAAACTGGAAGGGAACTATTGTGTCACAAGACGCGAATTGCCAGCTGTGGTAAAGTCGTTGCAGCATTTTAGCAAATATCTTCTGGGGCGAAAATTTCACTTACGAACTGACCATGCTGCACTAAAATGGCTATTGCAGTTCAAAAATCCAGAAGGACAAGTTGCGAGGTGGATTGAACTACTGCAGGAATACGACTTTGTAATAAAGCATCGAAGCGGGAAATCTCATGGCAACGCAGATGCATTGTCAAGAAGACCTTGTCCTGAAGATTGCAGAAATTGTACTAGGCAAGAGAGTAAGGAAGCGGTATCCGTGGGGATGCTCAGGGCAGACCACCTCAGCAACGAGTGGAAGGACAGCTTACTATGTGCACAGCAGGAACTTCCGAACATCAAGCCCATTCTGGAATGGATGAAGGCCGGTGCTCCCAAGCCCAAGTGGAGCGTCGTCTCAGCGATGAGTTCGACCACTAAAAGCTATTGGGCCCAGTGGGACAGCTTGCTGCTTCAGGATGGAGTTCTGTGCCGTAAATGGGAAAATGTTCGAGGAGACAGCTGTCATTTGCAAATGGTTGTCCCTAAAGCTAAAGTACCGGATGTTCTACAGCTGTATCATAATGATTGTTCATAGAGGCCATCTGGGAGTTAAACGAACTCTACTGAAGATCCGAGAATGGTTTTACTGGGTCCAATGTCGAAACGACGTCGAGGACTGGTGTCGCAAATGTACAAGTTGTGCGGCTGTAAAGGGGCCTCAGACTCGTAGTAGAGGTGCGTTGAAGTTGTACAATGTTGGTGCACCATGGGAGAGAATAGCCATTGACGTGGCGGGGCCGTTTCCGGAGAGTGAAATCGGTAACAAGTATTTTATGGTTGTGATGGATTACTTCACTAAGTGGCCAGAAGTCTTCGCCATTCCAAATCAAGAAGCTTCAACAGTTGCAGATAAACGAGTTCAGGAATTCTTTTGTCGTTTTGGGGTACCTTTAGAGATTCACAGCGATCAAGGAAGGAATTTTGAGTCTCAAATATTCCAGGAAACTTGCCGAGTTATGTGTACTCGTAAAACAAGAACGACTTCTTATCTCCCGCAATCTGATGGAATGGTAGAACGATTTAATCAGACATTGGAGAGGTACCTAGCAAAAGTTGTAGACAATCGGAAATGAGATTGGGACAAGCACATACAACCGTTTTTATTATCATATCGAAGCGCTGTTCACGAAAGTACAGCAGTGACACCAGCTTTCGCAAACTTTGGAAGAGAATTACGGCTGCCTTCAGACCTGATCACCGGGATACCACCTGATGCCCCACGCAGTATAATCGATTGTGCAAATGACTTGCGGAACAAAATGAATGACATTTATGAGCACGTCAGACAATCGGGCCAGCAAATGTCTGAGAAGATGAAAACCCGGTATGACCGCAAAACGAACAATTTAAACGACAATTTATTACCTTCGTCGAATGGGTTCACTCGTGTGGCTGCACAATCCAGTCCGCAACAAAGGGTAAATCTCCTAAGCTTCAAGCTAAATGGGACGGGCTGTACCGGATTGTA